AGCCCGATGCGGGACTCGATCCTGGGACTCCAGGATCATGACCTGAGCCGAAGGCAGTCGCTTAACCAACTGAGCCACCCAGGCGCCCAGCACAATCCCATTTATAATTGCATCAAAAAGAATGAAATACTTAAAAATAAATTCAGTGAAGGTGGTTAAAGGCCTGTATATTGAAAACAAGACATAAATGAAAGAAATAAAAGACACAAATGAATAGGAAGGTATTCCATGCTCATGGATTGGGAAAATTAACATTGCTACAATTTCCATACCACCAAAAACAATTAACAGATTCGTTGCAATCCCTATAAAAATTTCTTTTTTTAATCTCTCAAAAGAATAAGTTCAGTTTATTTATATAATAAAATACTGATGAAAATAATCTACATCTGCCTACATGGATAAATCTCAAAAGCAATGGTGAATTAAAAGTCATTTGCAAGAAAATATATACAATATAACATTCATGTAAAATGTTAAAATATAAAGCAATTCTTAACAATCTATGGATAATCATTACAGCAAGAATACAGAAATATTAAAAGTACAAAGACACCAAATTTGCAATCACCCAATAGAGAGCTTTCTGTGGTGATGGAAATGTTTTATAGCTGCATTAACCCCAACATGGTAACCACTAATTAGGGAACTATCCTGAAAGTCCAAGACAACAATTTGTGATTTTGCTGAGGTATCACTGAACAATGTACACGTAGAGCTTGGTATTCAGAGCTAGTCACTTACCTATTCCCTGAGCCTAAGCAACCATTAATTCTTTAATAATGATCTCAGATTTTATTTGAAATTTTAAATATAACAGTGGTATAACAGATCCACAAATAACTTAGGGTACACCCTACTGTGTGTGTCAAGGACTTATTTATTCAAATATTATATAAAGAGTTTCAAAAGATCCTTGGGCTGTCTTCAAAAATCATTCATTCTAGTATTTTCCTCTTAAGGGAAAAATAAAGACACCAGAACCTTATAATTAAAACATCTTAATTTGATTATTCATTTCTAAAATTTTTGTAGAAGATACATTCTGAGTAAAATTAAGAGTTTTAGGCAGTTTAAGAAATAGGGCTTATGGGACACCTGGATGGCTCAGTCGTTAAGCATCTGCCTTCTGCTCAGGTCATGATCCCGGGATCCTGGGATCTAGCCCCGCATTGGGCTCCCTGCTCCATGGGAAGCCTGCTTCTCCCTCTCCCGCTCCCCCTGCTTGTGTTCCCTCTCTTGCTGTCTCTCTCTCTGTCAAATAAATAAAATAAAATCTTAAAAAAAGAAAAAAGGCTTAGGTCCAGTTATTTATATTTAAAAGAAAAAATAAACCAAATTTGTTAATGGTGTGGAAAAAAGCATCACATTTGAAGTATAGTTGTGAAGAAATTTTTGTGATCTACAGTTCAGTCAGAGAATATTCCATGGCAACAGTCCCATCCTATTGTGTACTATCTTAGAGATTCTCTCTTGGAGAGATAGAAGGAGGTGTAGTAGGATGAATTTAAACAGTATCCAACAAACACTTCACTGTATTTGCTTCATACTTTTTTTTTTTTTTGGAACTGCTTCTGGAATCCTTTTTCTATTTGAAAATCAGAGATTTCAAGAAACATAAATATGTAAAATGATACCTCTTCTCCATTTTGAAGCGAGTGTGTGTTCCTTGTAATTCATACTGACTGCACACCTGTGCTTAGGCAGAGACACTGCTGGGTTTTCTTTCTTTTTTGGAGAACAAGAAAGTTTACTGATTTTCACTACAGGATACAAGGGGACATTGGTGATATCCTTCAGGCTAAAATGAAGTGAGCAGTGAGTTTTAGGTAGTGCACTGATAGTTGTTTTTGTAAGCTTAGAATCTTCCATCTCTTTTTCATCTCCATATTTTAGTGCTTTTTTAGGTTGAGACCTGGTGACTGGGCTCCTATCTGATTCACTGGAGAGATCTTGACTCTACTTGCAAGTGAGCAAATGGAGGTCGTCAGAATCATCTCCTGAACTACTTGATTCACAGATGCTCACTTCAAATTCATTGTTTTCTTCTCTGTTAGAATCGTTGCTCATTTTTTGTCGGAAAGGAGTGAGATGAATACCCTCTTCCAAATTAAACTTGTAAGCATCACTGGAAGTGACAGATTCATTTAACTTTTTTTTTTTTTTGGAAACAGTTTTTTTTTTTTATTTTCACTTTTGCTCCCTTCATACTTTGATACAGATTTTGATTTTCTCCTGTTAGCTTTTCTTTTCTCCTTTTCTTCCTTGTGCACCTCTATGCTTACTTTTAGTTTGTTCAAGTTTATATTCTAAAATGTTTTCTTTTGTTTTAGTAGATCTTCCTGGGTCAATCAACTTTGGCGATAAGTTAATTTGATCCTTATTTTACTGACAAACACTTTGTTCTACGTTTTCAGGGTCTACACATCTAATTCTTTTGGATTCAAAGGGCTGCACTGAGAAATGACTGATTTCAAAATCATCCAAGGTATTGAACTGACATAGATTGTTAAAATGTTTCTTTAAACTTCAGTGGACAGATACAGTTCTAGGTAAGACATTATCAACAGATTTATCTTCATCTGAATCCAAATCAAATCCCAGTCTATCTTGAGAAATAGGTATTTGCTCTTCTATTTGGAATGATTCTCCTTGTCTTGGAAGGTGAGCTTCCTGAAGAGGAACTTGTGTTATATCCTTCACAAATAAATTCCCAGAGTTGTTGTCACTATTGGAGTTCATTCCAGAGGGACATATTTCCTGGTTCTGAGAAGTTTCTTCTGTTTGTTGTGAAGTCAGTTTTTCTTTCAATGCATATAGCTGACACGTGAGGTAGTAACATTCTTTTCTAAGTTGGAGGATGGTATCTTGGGCTTTTTTCACTTTGGATTTTTCATTTTCCAAAGCTAAAACTAACATTCTGTTGTCATGGTAGTTTTTTAGCAGTATAGAAGTGTTGGAGATTATTTGGCATGGTGCAGTTATAAAAGAATTTTGTTTGCCAATCTCTGCCACATTTTTATTCCTTTTCTCTTTCATCCATTCCTTTATGTCTTCAAGATTGTCTTGAAAGGACTTTTTAAGGCACCTTTCCTTGGCCACCACTTCTGCCACAGCTGTCGCCCTCCTTCTTACATTCTAAGGTTCGGTGAGGCTGTCCAGCTGGTGTATCCCACACTTTGGACCCTCTGGGTCTAGGTTCCATCTACTATCCCCTATCAAAATTTCAATGGCATTTTTCACAGAAATAGCAGACAATCTTAAAATTTGTATGTATCTGCTAAACATCATGAATACCCAAAACAATGTTGAGAAAGAAGAACAAAGATGGAGACATCACATTCTTTATTTATAAGTGTATTACAGGGTATAGCAATTAAAACAGTATGATATTGTCAAGAAACAGACACACAAATCAATGGAACAAAATAGAAAGCTCACAAATAAACCCACCTGAATTTTATGACAAAGAATCTATGTATGTACAATGGGGAAAGTATAATCTTTTCAGTAAATGGTGTTGGGGAAACTGAACAGCCTCATGCAAAAGAATGAAACTAGACTATTGTCTTACACCATACACAATGAACTCAAATGTTTTAGACTTAAAAGGAAGACCTAAAAACATAAAACTCCTAGAATAAAACACACACAATAAGTTCCTTGACATTGGTTCTGGCAATGATCTTGTACCTGACCATAAAAGAAAGGTAAAAAAAAAACAAAACAAAAACAAAAATAAGTAAATGGGACTATATCAAACTGAAAAACTTCTGCTCAGCAAAGGAAACCAAGAAAATGATAAAGAAACCTACTGAATGATGGGGTACCTGGGTGGCTTAGTTGGTTAAGCATCTGCCTCTGGCTCGGGTCGTGATCCCAGGATCCTGGGATTGAACCCACCATCGAGCCCTGCATAAAGCCCCACATGAGCAGGGAGCCTGATTCTCCCTCTCCCTCTGCCACTCCCCCTGCTTGTTCTTTCTTGCTTAAATAAATTAAAAATCTTTTTTTAAAAAAAGAAACCTACTGAATGAAAGAAAATATTTGCAAGTCATATCTGGTAAAGGATTAATATCTATAATATATAAAGAACTCATAGAACTCAACAGCAAAAAAAATCTGATTGAAAAATTGTCAGAGGACCTGAATAGACTTCTTTTTTGCAAATAAGACATATAGTGGCCAACAGGCCTATGAAAAGATGCTCAACATCACTAATTATCAGGGAAACGCAAAACAAATTCACAACAAGATACCACCTCACATCTGTTAGAATGGCTAGTATCAAAAAGACCAGAAATAATGAGTGTTGGCTAATATGTGGAGAAAAGGGGACTCTCATGCACTGTTGGTGGGAATTTAAATTGGTGCAACCACTATTTAAAACAATATGATTTCTTCCCAAAATGAAAAATGAAACTACCATCTTATCCAACAATTCCACTACAATGTTTTTATCTGGAAAAATAAAATGAAAACACTACTTCTAAAAGATATGTCCACCCCTATGTTCATTGCAGTATTATTTACAATATCCAAGATATGGAAATACCTAAGTGTCTATCAGTGGATGAATGGATAACAAAGATGTGGTATATAAATGCAATGTAATACTACCCAGCCATTAAAAAAGAATGAAATATCGCCATTTGTGACAACACTGATGGACCTTGGGGGAATTATGGTAAATGAAATAAGTCAGACAGAGAAAAACAAATACTATATTTCACTTATATGTGGAATCTAAAACCAAAACAAAATTCATTGATACAGAGAACAGAACTGTAAGTGCTAGAGTGGAGGGGGCTTTGGGCTGGGTGAAATGGCTAAAGGGGGTCAAGAAGTAAAAAGTTTCAAATATAAAATACATGGTATGGAGATGTAATGTACAGCACAGAGACTATAGCCAATAACACTGTACTACATATTTGAAAGTTGCCAAGAAAGTAAATCCTAAAAGTTCTCATCCCAAAAAAATTATAACTTTGTATGGTGAAAAATGATAACTAGGCTTATTGTGGTGATCATTTAGCAGTGTAGGCAGATATTGAATCATTATGTTGTATACCTGAAACTAATATAATATTATATGTCAATTATACTTCAATTAAAAAAAAAAACTTCAGGTCAGGGTTAAAAAAAATCAAATTACCACCTATACAAATGAAGAAAGAGCATTTGACAAAATTCAACATGCGTTCTTACTAAAACTCTCAATAAGTTGAGTATAGAAGGAATGTATCTTAAATGAAGGCTAAATATGACAAACCCACAGCTAACATAATACTTAATGGTGAAAAGTTGAAAAATTTTCCGCTTAAGAGATCAGGAACAAGATATGAATGACCACTCGAACCACTCTTAATTATCTTAGTACTGGATGTCCTAGCCAGAGCAATCAGATAAAAACAAGAAATAAAAAGCATCTAAATCACAAAGGAAGAAGTAAAATTATCTTTGTTTGCAGATGACATGATTTATATATTGAAAATCCTACAGATTCCACCAAAAAACTTTTAGATCTAATCAATAAATGCCATAAAGTTGCAGGATATAAAATCAACATTAAAAAATCAATAATGTTTCCATACACTAATAACAAAATATATTAAAAAGAAATAAAGTGAACAATCGCATTTACAAAAGCTTCAAAAAAACACTTTAGGAATAAATTTAACCAAGGAGGTGAAAAATCTCTACACTGAAAACTGTGACATTGGTGAAAAATTTGAATAAGACATAAATAAAGGAAATATCATGTTCATGGCTTATAGAATTAATATTGTTAAAATATCCCTACTACCCAAAGTCATCTGTACATTGAATGCAATCTTTGTAAGATTCAAGTGGAATTTTTATAAAAATAGAAAAAAAATCCTAAAATTTATGTGAAACCACAGAAGGTTGTGAACAGAAGATTGAGAAAGAAGAACAAAGCAGAAGACATTATGCTTCCTGATTTTAAACTATATTACAAATCTATAGTAATAAAACAGTATACTATTTGCATGAAAATGGATATATGGAAGAGAATCAAGAGCCCATAAATAAACCCATGCACATCTGTTCAACTAATATTTGACAAGGGGTTCAAGAATATTTAATGGTGAAAAGATCATTTCTTCAGTAAATGGTACTGGGAAAATTGGATGTTTACATGCAAAAGAATGAAATTGGACCACTATTTACACCATTCACAAAAATTAACCTGAAATATATTAAAGACTATATGTATGACCTGAAATCATAAAATTTCTAACAACAACAACAAAAACAAAGGCGAACACATCCTTGACATTGGTCTTGGAAATTATTTTTGGACATGACACCTAAAGGACAAGCAATAAAAGCACAAATAATTAAGTGGGATTATGTCAAAATGAGAAAGTTTTTTAGATAGTGAAAGAAAATAATCAGATTCAAGAAGATGGTAGTGAAGTAGGAGGACCCTAGGCCCATCTTTTCCATGAACTCAACTAAATAACTATAAACTCATCCTAAATACCCCAAAAATCAATCTGAACACTGACAGAAGAAACTCCATAATGTAAGGGAGAGACGAGGCCATGTGGAAGAAGGTAAGACATACAGGGACTGCAGGTGATACAGAGGAGAGGGAGCAGTGGGTGAGGAGAAGGGCAAGAGAGAGAGGAGCATACTGGGAAATGTATAAGGAGAACATTTCCCCAAAGCAATTGGTTTGGAAAGTGAAAGGAGCTGAATTATCTGAATCCTTAACAACCAGCAGGGCTTAAAAATTTTAAAGAACAATGGGCTTGGCTGGTATTAGCCTGGCGGGCACTGTGCTGCTCCTGGAGAGAAGGCAGGCAAACAACCTGGGGGCAGACAAAGTGGAAACAGTGATCTGAAGAATGCCTGGGGCACACTGGGAGGAGATTATTCACTCAAAGTGCTTCCCTGAAAGGCAGCATTCAGGGAGACTCCTCTCCAGGAACAAAGGAGTTGACCGGTGCCATTTCCCTCCTCCTCCCCTCAGCATAAACACAGAGCCACCTGGGGGAATCAGCTCAGGGCTGATACAGGCCGCCTAACTTGGTTACATCAAGTCCCACACCCATGTGCTCTGGTGTGATCGCCCTTCTCTCTCAAGCTCACCTCAGTACCAGTGCTGCAGGCCACTCCTCCAGAAGACCAGCACAGGCCCCTGCCCAAACCACTTCCCTAAACCCTGGAGTTTTAAAGGTCAGCAGGCTTGCCTGGGATAAAACCAGGAAGGCACTGCACTGCTCCTGGAGAGAAAGCAGGCAAAAACCTGGAGGCAAACAGCATGGAAACAGCAATCTGAATAATGCCTGGAGTTCATGTAGTGGGGGGCAAGGGGTTTATTCACACCTCTGGGAGTGCTTCCCTGAGTGGCAGCATTCAAGGACGTGCCTCTCCAGGGAGTAAGGACCTGGTCAGTGCCATTCCCCCCACTCCCACCCCTCAGCATACAAACAGAGGCACTTGCTAGTAGCAGCACAGAGCTCACACTGGCTGCCTAACTTGCTTACACCAAGCCACACACCCTGCTCTCTGGTGGAGCTGCCCTTCTCAGTCAAGCTTACTTCAGTTCCAGCATGGCAGGCCCCTCCCCCAGAACCAGCACAAAATCCAACCCACACCACATCTCCCAACCAGAGATCTGCAATGCCTCAGTTATAGTGGAACTAGTATCAGGTCTCATTTCACAAGCAAACCAGAGTACAGCTAGTTAAAACTTGCCACATTCTGACCAAGAAACAAACACTGCCCGCAGCAGGCAAGGAGAGCCTCTGCAGACGACTGGCCTGAGGGACAGAGCAGCCAAAACACAACAGCAGAGCACAGGCAGCACACACCAGAGTCTCTATGAAGCACCAGGTTCTGGACACTACATAGCCTCTTCATAAAGCCATTACCTTCAGGAGCAGAACCATAACTGGCTTTTCTAATACATGAAAGAAGAAGGCAGAGATTTAGACAAAATGCCAGGAAAAGAAATTTATCCCAAATGAAAGAACAAGTTAAGGCTATAGCCAGAGATCTAGGTGAAA